CCCCTTAGCAGAAAACACCACCAAAGCATAATGTTTCCACCTCCATGTTTGACGGTGGGGATGGTGTTCTTGGGGTCATAGGCAGCATTCCTCCTCCTCCAAACACGGCGAGTTGAGTTGATCCCAAAGAGCTCCATTTTGGTCTCATCTGTCCACAACACTTTCACCCAGTTGTCCTCTGAATCATTCAGATGTTCATTGGCAAACTTCAGAAAGGGCATGTATGTGTGCTTTCTTGAGCAGGGGGACCTTGCGGGCACTGCAGGATTTCAGTCCTTCACGGCGTAGTGTGTTACCAATTGTTTTCTTGGTGACTATGGTCCCAGCTGCCTTGAGATCATTGACAAGATCCTCCCGTGTAGTTCTGGGCTGATTCCTCACCGTTCTCATGATCATTGCAACTCCACGAGGTGAGATCTTGCATGGAGCCCCAGGCTGAGGGAGATTGACAGTTCTTTTGTGTTTCTTCCATTTGCGAATAATCACACCAACTGTTGTCACCTTCTCACCAAGCTGCTTGGCAATGGTCTTGTAGCCCATTCCAGCCTTGTGTAGGTCTACAATCTTGTCCCTGACATCCTTGGAGAGTTCTTTGGTCTTGGCCATGGTGGAGAGTTTGGAATCTGATTGATTGATTGCTTCTGTGGACAGGTGTCTTTTATACAGTTAACAAGCTGAGATTAGGAGCACTCCCTTTAAGAGTGTGCTCCTAATCTCAGCTCGTTACCTGTATAAAAGACACCTGGGAGCCAGAAATCTTTCTGATTGAGAGGGAGTCAAATACTTATTTCCGTCTTTAAAATGCAAATCAATTTATAACATTTTTGACATGCGTTTTTCCGGATTTCTTTGTTGCTATTCTGTCTCTCACTGTTCAAATAAACCTACCATTAAAATTATAGACTGATCATTTCTTTGTCAGTGGGCAAACGCACAAAATCAGCAGGGGATCAAATACTTTTTTCCCTCACTGTATATCGGGCACCACGGTGGCTAGGAGATGTTAACTCCCTCGCCTGGTATACAGCGGGTCGTGGGTTCGAGCTCGACCCTGACGCCTGCTTATATTTGGAGTGTGCATGTTCTCCCCGTGGTCGCGTGCATTTTTCTCCGAGTCCTCCGTTTTTTTCCCTCCACATTTAGAATCAGCGTGCGCGCTTAGAGTATCTGGCGGCTAAATAATTCCACGTGATGATACGCGACTTCGTTGGGCTATCATTTGTGATATAGCCAGGTCGCTTCTGAAATAAAGAGCTACACACAGTTCTATCAGTGTCCGGTGGGGGCTGGTACACGCTGCTAAACAAGACATGACTGAGCTGATTGACTCTTGTAAACGAGTTTCACGCGTAGGCTTTCGCGACCAATATTATTAATAATAAAGGTTTTTGGGTTAGATCGCGTAATTGTCAATGTTGTGTCGTAACCCTCCACCGCCCGACACAGCCAATCCGTAAGGGATTTGTCACGTAAACAAAACGTGCCAATTAGTGACTACTTTAGCCCACCGGTGTGTTGGGGAGAGTAAATTTACAACAATAACAATTTGAGTAGTACGACGTTTCGCGTACTAGTCAATGTTGTGGATATACTCTACAACACACCGGTGGACTGAAGTAGTAACTAATTGGCGTTTTGTTTACGTGACAACTCCTTACTAATTGGCTGTGTCGGGTGGTGGAGGGTTAAGGCAAAACATTTATACTTACGCGATGTAACCCAAAAACCTTTATCTTGTATACGAGTAGGCATAGTTTGTAAACAATCCTAAGGTTTACCCCAGGGGTTCAGTGTTAATTCAAGAGGCTCGTGGAGCCAAACGAAGGCACCGATGTGGTCCAGTCGGTGGCGTGGGAATCACGTGGCTTGCAGGAAGCCTCCTGAGTTTTTGGGGGGAGGCACGGTGTGAGAACAGCAACCTCGTCTCGCCTCTCTCGTCTCCTACCATGTCCCCTCCTCTCGTCATCTTCGTCCACAATCTTCTCTCTCTCTCTCTCTCTTGCTGTCCTTCCTCTTCCTCGCGTGCCCAATCGCGTGTTCGATCCTTCTCCCACCTTGCACTCCTCCACTGGAATCAACTTCCCCTGTACATTGAGCAGCACTGCCCATAGACTCAGCACTGTCCATAGACTCAGCACTGCACCATAGACTCAGCACTGGCCATAGACTCAGCACTGCCCATAGACTCAGCACTGTCCATAGACTTAGCACTGCCTATAGACTCGGTACTGCCCATAGACTCAGCACTGCCCACAGACTCAGCACTGCCCATAGACTCAGCACTGTCCATAGACTCAGCACTGCCCATAGACTCAGCACTGGCCATAGACTCAGCACTACCCATAGACTCAACACTGCCCATAGACTCAGCACTGCCCATAGACTCAGCACTGGCCATAGACTCAGCACTGCCCATAGACTCAGCACTACCCATAGACTCAACACTGCCCAAAGACTCAGCACTGCCCATAGACTCAGCACTGGCCATAGACTCAGCACTGGCCATAGACTCCACACTGCACCATAGACTCAGCACTGCACCATAGACTCAGCACTGCCCATCGACTCGGCACTGCCCATAGACTCGGCACTGCCAATAGACTCAACACTGCCCCATAGACTCAGCACTGTCCATAGACTCAGCACTGCCCATAGACTCAGCACTGCCCATAGACTCAGCACTGCCCATAAACTCAACACTGCCCATAGACTCAGCACTGTCCATAGACTCAGCACTGCCCATAGACTCAGCACTCTCCATAGACTCAGCACTGCCCATAGACTCAGCACTGCCCATAGACTTAGCACTACCCATATACTCAACACTGCCCATAGACTCAGCACTGCCCATAGACTCAGCACTGGCCATAGACTCAGCACTACCCATAGACTCAACACTGCCCATAGACTCAGCACTGCCCATAGACTCAGCACTGGCCATAGACTCAGCACTGCCCATAGACTCAGCACTGCCCATAAACTCAACACTGCCCATAGACTCAGCACTGCCCATAAACTCAACACTGCCCATAGACTCAGCACTGCCCATATACTCAGCACTGCACCATAGACTCAACACTGCCCATAGACTCAGCACTGCCCATAGACTCAGCACTGCCCATAGACTCAGCACTGCCCATAAACTCAACACTGCCCATAGACTCAGCACTGCCCATATACTCAGCACTGTCCATAGACTCAGCACTGCCCATAGACTCAGCACTGTCCATAGACTCAGCACTGCCCATAGACTCAGCACTCTCCATAGACTCAGCACTGCCTATAGACTCGGTACTGCCCATAGACTCAGCACTGCCCATAGACTCAGCACTGCCCATAGACTCAGCACTGTCCATAGACTCAGCACTGCCCATAGACTCAGCACTGCCCATAGACTCAGCACTGCCCATAGACTTAGCACTACCCATATACTCAACACTGCCCATAGACTCAGCACTGCCCATAGACTCAGCACTGGCCATAGACTCAGCACTACCCATAGACTCAGCACTGTCCATAGACTCAGCACTGCCCACAGACTCAGCACTGTCCATAGGCTCAGCACTGCCCATCGACTCAGCACTGCCCATAGACTCAGCACTGCCCATAGACTCAGCACTATCCATAGACTCAGCACTGCCTATAGACTCGGTACTGCCCATAGACTCAGCACTGCCCATAGACTCAGCACTGCCCATAGACTCAGCACTGTCCATAGACTCAGCACTGCCCATAGACTCAGCACTGGCCATAGACTCAGCACTGCCCATAGACTTAGCACTACCCATAGACTCAACACTGCCCATAGACTCAGCACTGCCCATAGACTCAGCACTGGCCATAGACTCAGCACTGGCCATAGACTCAGCACTGCCCATAGACTCAGCACTGCCCATCGACTCGGCACTGCCCATAGACTCGGCACTGACCATAGACTCCATACTGCACCATAGACTCAGCACTGCCCATCGACTCGGCCCTGCCCATAGACTCGGCACTGCCAATAGACTCAACACTGCCCCATAGACTCAGCACTGTCCATAGACTCAGCACTGCCCATAGACTCAGCACTGTCCATAGACTCAGCACTCTCCATAGACTCAGCACTGCCCATAGACTCAGCACTGCCCATAGACTTAGCACTACCCATATACTCAACACTGCCCATAGGCTCAGCACTGCCCATAGACTCAGCACTGGCCATAGACTAAGCACTACCCATAGACTCAACACTGCCCATAGACTCAGCACTGCCCATAGACTCAGCACTGCCCATAAACTCAACACTGCCCATAGACTCAGCACTGTCCATAGACTCAGCACTGCCCATAGACTCAGCACTGTCCATAGACTCAGCACTGCCCATAGACTCAACACTGTCCATAGACTCAGCACTGCCTATAGACTCAGCACTGCCCATAGACTCAGCATTGTCCATAGACTCAGCACTGCCCATCGACTCAGCACTGTCCATAGACTCAGCACTGCCCATAGACTCAGCACTGCCCTTAGACTCAGCACTGTCCATAGACTCAGCACTGCCTATAGACTCAGCACTGCCCATAGACTCAGCATTGTCCATAGACTCAGCACTTCCCATCGACTCAGCACTACCCCATAGACTCAGCACAGCCCCTGTACATTAAGTAGTCCCCCCTCCTTAACCTCCTTCCGTTCCTCTCTTAATGCCTCACCACCTCTTCCCCATATCCCATTCTCTCCCTCTTCCCTCCCCTCGCCCCTCTACTCCCCCCAGTCCCTACCCTGTCGTGATCCCCAAGTACTGCCCCTGCCAACCACACCATTCCATTCTGTCAGCGTTTCGTAAGCTACGCCACATGCCTTGAGCGAAGGCGCTCTCTATAGAAATATAAATTACATTACATCCAAGGGGGCCCCCCGAGTAACTGACCGCAAAAATAAAAAAAAGGAATCGCCATTTTTACCGCGGACGAATGCGCTCGCTCGACCGACGAGTCGTCTTGGCTCTGGAAGGATATGAAGCGACGAGGCCACGCGTGGCGTCGCGCAGCGCCAGCGTGGAGGAGCGCAGGGCCCAGTAGAGCGAGCGGCGGAGCATCGGGAGCTGAGCGCCGGCGCCCAGGTCCAGGGTCCGCACGGAGCAGCTGGCGCTCACCCTGCGTGCGAAAGACCGTCGATTGTCCGATCGTAAAGGAAATTGTAGCGCGCTCAACCAAGGCACTTTACGAAGAATTAAGGACGGTACAACGTATGAGCGAAGACCCCGGGGGCCGGTCCAGGAACGCCTGGGAATTCCCCAGGAAGAGCTAGAGTATCGTGTAGTGTATAGTAGTGTATAGTGTAGTGTATATTAGTCTATAGTAATTAGTGGTGTGTAGTAATGTATAGTAGTGTAGAGTATAGTAGCGTAGTGTTTAGTAGTGGAGTGTATAGCAACGTTTAGTAGTGTAGTGTATAGTGTAGTAGCGTACAGTAATGTACTGCTGGAGGCTGTCGCCAGGGAAAGGGAGGTCTGAACCGCACGACTCAACACGCTGCCGCCGCGACCCTCACCAGGACGAGCGGATTGAGAAACCAACAAACGAACGAACAACGTGTGAATGTAATGGCGGGGATGAGGTGAATGAAATAGATGAGAGGGAACGATGGGGGAGAATCTGCGATGCGTGAATTCGATGAAAGCGAAATTGATGACAGCAAATGATGATGAATGGATTGAATGGGTAATGAGTGAAAGCCACATTGGAATACGAAGAGGGAAAGTAATGATAGTCGCTCTTAAGATCGTCGTCGTTGTCGTCATTCGACGTAGTCTATCCACTGCTGGATGAAGGCTTGCCCAAGCCGTCGCCGTCGCTCGCAATCTCGCGATGCAACAACGCACCCGGCGGAAGCACGCAATCAGCCGGTCTCATCGCTCGATTGCCCTGGTGGACGCCTGATCGTTCAATCGGGTGGCGCAGCCCCGCAATTGCTTGCTCACGCCACTGTTGGCAGAAGGGCCTCCACGAGATGGCCTCTGGCACACTCTTACACGCGGGACTAACCCCTCTTGGAACAGGTGGGATGTACCAACACTCTACACCCCATCACATGCATTCTGCCCAACGACTAACTCCTTCTTTCAGATTAGATTTTAACCGGAACCCTGTCTTGACTAACACCCACACTCCTGCCACCGCCACCGCCATCCAACGCTCGCACACAGAAAGTCAAAGATACCTCCGCATAGCCTTAACAGGCTGTTGTGGCAGGTGCCGTTAGCGAGCACCTATGAAGGCTGGCATGGCACACCAAGGGGGTGGGTGGCCAGCACCATGCCCGGCCACCTTTGCCTCCCCAGTGGCGATGTTTTACACACCACACCTAGGCGAGGCCCAGGACAGGTTCAGATAATGGTCACTGGTGTTGGCCGTGAGCGGGAATCTAACTCGGGTCGCCAGGTTCGTAGCTACACTACCGCTCCCCACTTCAAGATTCGATTTTAAATCGGCAACCTGTCAGGATGGAACACCTGCATTATTGCCGCCGCCACCGCCCCCCAACCCTCGTACGCACACACGCACGCAGAAGGGGCCACTCACAGGGTGAACCCGCGAGTGATGACCTCGCTCTCCTGCACCAGCCGAAGCGACTTCTTGGCCAGAGCGGTGAGGGCGGCGCAGTCCCCGGCGAAAGCGCCGGTCGAGACGCAGCGACGCTCCAGCCGCGCCCCGTCCAGCCGGCGCCGCAGAGACCTCGCCATCGTGGCTAGGGCAACCAGCGCCGCCGCCGCGGCCACTGCCACGGCCGCGCTCCGCCAAACCACCGGCACGGCTGCCACACCGCCAGCCGTCGGCGAGGTCGCCCAAACCGCTACCACGGCGAGCAGGGCCGCCGCGACAGCCAACCACGCCGATGGCTTCCTGCGGAGACATACGTACGCATGTTGAACTTCTTTCGCACCGTACGTAGCCGGCCGTGCAGAGATAGGACAACAGAGGTGACGTCCATAATACAGGTTTTTGGGTTAGATCGCGTTAACATAAATGTGTCGTTAAACCCGCCACGACCCGACGCAGCCAATTAGTAAGGTGGGTCACGTCAACAGAACGTACCAATTCGTTACTAGTACATTACACGGGTGTGTTGGAGAGCAAATCCACAACATCACATACCAACTATTGGTGAGCATAAGAACCGGCAGTGAAAAAAATGTCAATATCACGCGAATAATAATAATGTACAGCCGATTTGTCAATATACTGCTAGATGAAGGTCACTCCGCTCCCATTGTCAGGAATGGAAATTGTTGGATCACACTTCGCTCGGCTGGTCGGTGCGTGTTGGTGAAGGGGGGAGGCATGTGAGTGCATTAGCATCGTCTGTCCGTCCGTCAGGAACAGGAGACCATGATAAGTCTGTGAGAGATGATCAAATATGAATTAAATTTTGTTATGAAGTTGTGTTGGTGTTAGGGACTACCTTATAGAAAACCGGGCAAATTGATTGAAGGGTTGCCCAAAAGTTTGTGATTAAAAAAAAACAGCGCTAAAAATATTCAGATTGCTGACCAAGGCACACGCGCATCACCTCCCCCTGCCCACTCCATGACATCATTGTGTGACGTCATCTTGTAAAGCTGCAATTTTTATGTGGCATGTGATGTCATCTCATTGTGCGGTTTGAAACATGAACATTTTTATCGCTAATTAAAGACTTCCAAAGACAAACACACGTTCACCTGGGGCTTTTCGGGCCTGCCAAGTTAAAAAAAAGCTCCTCATTTTCACGTGACAAAAAAAGTTTTGCTGGCTGGCGCAAGGGTCGGCAGGCAAGTGCGTGGTGGTGATGTCACGTGATGACTTCACCCGCATCCCATAGCGTTGAGCCGGGTTCCTGCTTCGCACCGACATCACTGCCTCCCCCCACCCTCTATCCCGGCGGTGAATACCGCGCAATTTTTTTTTTTTAAATCCCTTCAAGCCGTGACCTCGCAAAGGTCAAGGTGAAGTGGAAAACTATTCCGTGCTGTTGTTTCCATTGCAATTGGGGGTCTTTGAGTGGAAGTGGGATGCGTGCAGCATCGCACGAGAATCTCCCCTAACATCGGCAGGAGAGGAAATAAACCGTCGGAACTCTTACACCGTCTCAGTGCTGGGCTTGTTGTGTCCTCACTGTCGCGTACACACTGTCGGCGCCCCACGACGTAAACCGCTCTGGTGAAATAACATCTTACTCTGTTCCGGGGGCCCTCACTCCGAGGTGGGAGTCCACCCTAGCAAACGTGTCAGCTCCCACGGGCCCAAAGTGGCCCAATCACAACGCTCACCCAGGATCTGTGGCCCTATATTGGGATATTTGGGCAACTCCGGCGACGAGGGGGCGCCGGCTGAATCGGACCACCGGGGGACTCACCGAGCGTCGACGCTCGTGCCATCGAGCTGGTCCCCGACGTCGCCGCCTCGCGGGGTCGCGGAGGTCGGGGCGAGCGGCTCAGCGGCCCACGTGAGCACCTCCGGGGCGAAGAGCCCCAGCAGCTCCACGTCCTCCTCGAGCAGGCGGCCTCGCGTCACGACGGTCGCCACCTCCCGCCGGCGCCACGCGTCGGCCTGGGTGGCAGAGCACCAGAACAGCGGCATTGTTTTGTTTTTGTTCATCATAGTGAACGAAACCAAACTACTTTTTTTTTATTGTACCAGGTAAGGCCACGCTGAGCTATGTAGCTCTTCTTCAGAGGCGACCCAGCCATCAAAAAATGACAGCCAAGTGAAGTGGCTTATCGTGTGGAAATGTAGAGCAGCCAAATATTGTAAACGGTTGATGTCGATTCTAAATTACCAAGCAGATAGAGAAGTGTTGTGACCTGCAGTGTGGCGAGTGGGTGGGTGGGTGAGTGGGTAGGTGGGTGAGTGGGCGAGTGGGTGGGTGAGTGTTTGGGTGAGTGTGTTGTTGTGACCTACATTCTGGTGGCTGAACACCGGTATGCAGGAATCGAGTCAGCCTGGTAGACCCGAGTACTCGACATGGGTGGAGAATCAATGAGTGAAGTTCGCTGGAACAGTCACGATGGTAGCAGTGAGAGCGTAAAGAGGTGACTGGCCGCTGGTGAGCGAGTATACTGGAGTTAGATAGCGAGTGCTGGATCATTAATCAGTCTGACTGCTTCACGATTAATTCTAAGTGCACATGAAGGTATTTACAGGTACAGGTGAAGGCCTGCAATTACTTTCTCGGGCCACTGTTGGTAGAAGGGTCTCCCACCGCAGCGAGCTCTCGAGAGGCCCCTAGAAGGCATTTTGGCCTTCTCTTCTATGCTGGAAAGATGTTTTTGAAATGGGCAGGAGTTATCCAGATTTAACAGTATTGTGTATTATTATTATTAATGATCTTTGCCCCCCTTGGTGAAATCTCCAAACGATGCGAATGCTCCTTGACTGTATTGGCTTGCCAGCTTGTAGTAAATCTGTGTGTGTGTGTTATGTGGCCTCCACCGCGGTGTCACAAGGGCCCACCCACCTGGTCGCTTGATGCGGCATAAGCCCCAAGTCCTCCAACGTGCGACAAGAGAAGAGTGAAGGGCCTCTTGATCCATTCTCCACAGGACTGTTCAGACAAAGACAGCCACCGTGCAGCCTTAACAGACCTGTTGGGGCAAGTGCTGTTTGCGAGCACCTATGTAGGCCGGCACGGCACACAAAGGTGAGTGGCCAGCACCACGCTCGCCTTTGTCTCCCTCGTGTCGATGTTTACACATCGCGCCAGGTACTCGTTTGAGGCCGAGTCGACCTCGGGGAGGGCCCAGGACCGGTTCGGGTAAATGTTACTGCTGTTGGCCATGAGCGGGAATCGAACATGAGTTGCCAGATTTGTAGCGCAGCGTGCTAACCGCAAGACACGATTTAACCACCTCTACGGGGAGGGTTTCCATACAACTATTAGATCTTTTAACAAACTTCGGGACAAGAAGGCTCGTCTTATCGAGTCAAACCTTGTAACACAGTTTGCCTTTAGAAGCTAACCACCTTTTCCTGATGACGACCGCTTGCGTTGCCATCGAAACGTCGTAGCCTTTTGTTATTTTCTTTAAACCTATCTACGTGACTTTACCGAAAGACCCAAAGAGTACGCCTGACTACCGCTTCCCACGCAGGACTGTTCACACAGTCAGACAAGGAGATTGACAGAGACAGTCTGAGACAGTCAAATATATACACATATAGACACAGACAGACACACAGACCAAGAGACACGGACACAGACATGCACGTAGACTTACATACACACACAGAGTGAGGTGGGTGGTCAGTCAGACACAAACAGATTGACAGACGCACAATCAGACACAGACGAACAGGCAGTCACACACAGACTGACACACATATGCATACAGCCGACGGTGAGGCTCTATCTCTTAGTGGCATACTGCAGGCCCAAGAGGAGCGTCTCCAACTCCTCTCAGAGTGAACAATCGATTATTAAATCATCAGCATATATCACGTGGTTAGCCGACCAATAGGGAGCCATCCCTTGTCCGCACCCGTGTCATCAATCAGCCCCCCATGCTATCTTCACCAGATGCAAAGTGCTCTCCGGTGTAACCATAGAAGGATTATTGAACTACGTGGTCACAAAAATAGTGCAGGGATCACGAGCCATGCCTGTCGTGCCCCAAGGTGAACAAGAAATGGCTCCAACTCCCAGCCATGCAGCTTTACCCAGGCCTGCCCACCATCATGAAGGTTGTTCAAGATTGTGAGCAGAGGGTCAAGGACCACAAAAGCACGAAGAACAACCCAGAGGCCTATTGCTGGTATCACAGGACTTGACCCAGATCAATAAAACAGATGTAGGTAATCTTGAAATTCCCTTCACCTCTGCTGTAGCAGATGGACAGAGAATACGGCATCAGCGCAGGACCACCCAAGTCCAATACCAAATTTGGGATCCACAAGCCTTTCCTTAGCGTGCCTGGCAAGGCGAAGTTGAATAATTAATCCTTGCCCAAAACTTTCCTAGCACACTGAGGAGGGTGATGCCCCGGTAGTTGTTGCAATCACTGCAGTCCCCGTTTTTGAAAAGGGGGACCCCCCCCCCACCAGGACATACACACAACCACATACAAGCACAGACTTATTGACAGAATGACACACACACAAAAGCCAGACACACAAACTGACACGGGCACCCACCACGCACATGCTCACAATTCAGAAACCGTCTCGCAGTGTATAGAATATCTAAATAATTGCACCCGATTATATATACGTGAATGTATGCGACCAATGGAGCCTGTAAAGTAAATGAAGCGACTTTGCCCAATCCTAAAGTTTAATCGTGCGCGTAATATTTATAGCGCTTAAGCCGATGATGCCTCTTCCAGGACACATTTTAATGCTTGCGTCACGGCCATTTAGAATGCGGTGAGTGTGACCGTCTCATCCACAAAGTCTGTTTTCTTTATTACTATTTTTATTTCACCAGAATAAGGCCCCATTGATCGATGTAGATATTCTTCAGAAGGTACGTAGCTGTCACAAACGATAGCTCAACGAAGCGGCCTGCTCTTAAACGCGTGGTGATGTTGATTCTAAATGTGGACGGATAAACCGGAGGACCCGAAAAAAAATCCATGCGACCGCCGGGAAAAAATTAAAAGTCAAAATATACAGCAAGCATCAGGGTCGGGATCGAACCCACAGCCTCATGTACGCCAGGTTGAGACAGTTAACATCTTGACCCCGGGCGCTCCTGCTAACGGCTCATTTACACTTCTTTCTCCCCTCGTGATAACGAGTTTAACGGATGATTTAAAACCACCAGCCAACCGTGATTAAACCGCATTCGGCGAGGTGGCCAGGTGGACTAGGGATCAGAGCCGGCACCGATAAGATCCTGGGTTTGAACCGGGTTCTCAAGTGTTACGAGCCGATGGTCCCAGCCATTCACCAACGACTGCACGCGCAAAAGCCATCTTAAGTTTTGGGTTTCACATCATTTTTCCGAACCTTATCTGTGAATATAGAAACTTTTTTATATATATATAGATTCAGTGACATCGTCGTTCGAAAGAATCGCTTGCCGTGTGCCGATATCTCCACCAAAAGTTAACGTTCAAAACTGGACAGCCCTCATTGCGTAACCCCAGCTAGGCAGGTGCCCCAGCGTTGCAAACGCTGCAACGAATCGCAATGGGTCAGTAATCGAACTGTAAATACCGCAAGAGCTTATTCTCCAACACAACGGTTCGTGCTGAGCGAGGAACCATTTGCCTCGTTTTGTTCACGCTCCATACCTTACCAATTGGCTGTGTCGGTAGGTGGTGGCGGGTTAATGACACGTTCATATTTACGCAGTCTAACCCAACAAACAAACAAGAGCGCTATTATGGAATCGCAATGAGCTCACTTCGGTCAAATAAAGGACTGCGGTCATGCATAGCCTGCGACGGAGCGACCAGGGAACGGCGCCGACAACAACGAGCCCCAGGGAGAGCCGGGGTAGTCAGGGCAGCACCAGTGAGGGTGGGGGGCGGGGGTGGGGTGAGGGGCAACCAGAGCTCTTCTTCAACTCCTAGAGCATCCTTGGGGGAAGGGGTGGAGAGGGGGGGGGCAAGAGCCCATCCGTGGATTCTCCCTCGTTCAACCTAAAGGTATTTCGCCACAGAAATATACACACCCGTATATAGGCAACTTTATAATACACACCCGTATATACACACCCGTATATACACACCAGCATATACACACCCGTATATACACACCAGCATATACACACCCGTATATACACACCAGCAACTTGCCCGCTACCAACAGGAGGTGGCCAACAGTCGTCCGAGCACCTTCTGTCATAAATTTTGGACACTTGTGAAACCGTGTGACTGCCCCTTACAAAAAAATACAAAAAAGTGCCCTGTCGAGCACCCCCCCCACCCGCCCCCTCCCCACCCCGGCACCCCCCCACCCACCCTCCCCCACCCCGGCCCCCCACATCATGCGAGCGAAAAATGAAAGGGGCGTCAGAAAAAAAAGGAACAGAGGAACAGAAGGCGGGTAAAAAAGCGGCAGACGCGAGGCCATGAAGGCGCAGGCCCGGATTTTGAGATTTACGGCCAACGGTTTAGCGACGCGCGCGTGCCTCGACCGAGCAACGTTTATGCGATCGGTTGTCAGCGAGACACAACAAGCTCGACACCGCGGCGTTATTTTAAATTTGTTTTGTTTAGCTCGGTGACGTTTACGTTCAGCCGCTCTTGCGCCACCACCGCGACCCCCCGTGGCAAGGCCCCCGAAGGCTTCGTCCCCGAAGGGACGATGATGCTCGTTTAGAAAGACCCAGTTGCAGAGAAAGCCCTGAGTGTACGCGCCAGGTCAGCAAGGACGGAAGCGGCCGAACAAAAAAAGTTGCCGAGACGTCCACATTCGGGCGGTTCCACGGACAAGGCAACCTTCGCCAGCCAGGAGTTCAACACGGTAGAAGTTGGGTGCAAGTACAACCCATGGCCTATATCCAATGTGTTCATCACAACTCGGTTTATGCGAGCATGTGGATCTCTCAGCGAGTCAATGGTAGCCAGGCTGCAACCATCAACTCGCTCTTCTTTGTCAGCCCGGTTTATCACAGGCAGCTGAAAACCCCGCTTTGAAACGCAGGATCTCAGCAGCACCGGCTCGGCGCTCTGACCTCTGGGCCACCCCTGCCTCCTCCTCCTCCTCCTCCGCAGTAAATTTTTGCGAGCGCCTCAATCGAAGCAGCAGCAACAGCAGCAGCCGCGGTGGCTGCGACGTGATTGGAGGCACGGAGAGCCGAGCGCGCCGAGAAAACGCGGCTCGCATTCCCCCCCCCCCCCAAAGCCCGCTCCGCTTGTAAACGACAGGTGCTCGAGCGAGGAGGGCGGCCCTTGGGGGGGACGCACGACACAATAAACACCGCCGGCGAACCGTACGGGGGGATTCCACGACGCCGAAGAGCGGGCGGCATATGTCGAGCGGTCGCGTCCCGACACCCCCACCAAGGGACGAAGCGGGCCCTCCGGGCCAACGCAACGCACACAGCCCAGGGGACAGGACAAGACAGCGAGACTGCCGACGCCAGCAGATGCCACGCGTTTTAGTTCGTCGCACTTTAGAACTTATTTTGCCGTTGTCCGTCGCACCTTCCGTTGCTGTTGATAATGTTTCACCCTGCGTTTCGATCTGTCGCTGTGCTGGAATGTGTGAGCTGAGCACTGGGAACTGAGCACTTTTAAATCTAGATTGAAACTCATTTCTTTGTAACTGCTATTTGTGTTTAGTTTGTTGTCCATCTCCAGCACCTCTGTTCATCACGGTCGGCTACGTACGGTGGTGCGAACGAAGTTCAACATGCATACATACAATGCCTTGTATTCTCGGCGAGCGGAAATAGAAATTTCTGGATAAGATCTCCGCAGCCCCCCGCCCCCCCCAAAACTCACCCCCCACCCCTCCCCCAAAACTCGCGCGATGATTCGAGTCGTACTCGTAAAAAAATCGTGGAAACGCCACTTTTGTTTGGGCAACTCTAGTTCTGAGAGAAATCAAATCCCGTGCATTCCAGTCGACTCCAGAGTCGCCTATCCGTGAAAAATTCAGTAAAAGATACCGCTCCGTGTGGCCTACGCAAAGCGTGGGTTTTCTCCGTGTTTTCCGGTTTCCTCCCACACGGAGCCGAACTCTCAATGAAGGGCTTGACCAAACACACCACCGTAGCGGCTCCCCTTCTTGAATATAGTCTTTGAGACTCAGTGAGGCTTTCCTGGGTTTTCCGACTGATATTTATTATTACAATTATGATAACCGCCCACTGTTTTAGATTTCCTGTGCCCTAGAATTCACACACCCAATACTTCACACCCCATCATACCAGTGTGGCCAGCCAGCGATGATTTACGTATTATTTTACATCGCTTGGAACGGGACACTGGATAACCACGCTGGTGGAGCGGGCATGGCGATCCCGATACAGAGTTACGGATTTAATCGTGTCGTCACGCTCCGGAGTGGGGGGGGGGGGGGGAAATGTAACCACCTCACGCGAGCACGCGGGCGCAACTGAAGTTCTCCTCACGAATAAATACGCGCGATGGGCCAGCGCCAGCGGTTTGTAACGGAGCACAGTGGCAAAGCCATTCCGTTCCGCTTCTCGTTTTAAAACCGCCTCTTGTCTGCGTTCACTCTCCGTGACAGTTTTAACGGCCGGGGTTTTTGCACGGACCGGCTCGCTACGTCAACCTCCTGCAGATGTCATTCCCAGATCGCGGTCTCTGCGGGAAGTACGACCGTGCGGGAATGTACCGTTGTGCCGTATAGCCCTCTGCTGCGCCTTCGGCCAGAAAACCGGCCAAATATAGCCAAGGAAAGGGGGGTTGCCCTCAATTTGGCTTTGTCTTTGGCCCACCTCTCTTTCCTCGTCCCTTCAGACAGAGCCCTTCAAAGACGGTGGTGGCAAGTCTCCGTGGTCTTCGACTGACAAAGCAATTGGCACTGGCGGCGGCTGGTGCACCCCGATCTTCTGAGTCACCATCCCGCCATTCAAGACTCTCCGTGCTGTTGAAGTGATTGTAAAGCGACTACAGTACAACGGTCAAAGGGAAGGTGTCTGTTTACAACCGCACAATGGTACGCACCGGCACACAAAACCAAGGCTTCCGTGTCAACGTCACAGGACAAAGTCGAGATATAATTTGCCCACTGATGGGGGAGACAGTCATGGGTGTGGAAACTTCAGGTACCAATCAGGGGGGAGGCCACTCATCATCATCATCACAATCTATGAACAGATAGGCCGTAGGTGTCCACTGCACGTTTCATTATTTGCTTAAAAATTTCCTCTGTGTCTTGTGCCAATAAGGCCACTACCTCCCCAAATGTTGGACCGGAGGCGTAAGGACAAATGCTGGGCCACCCCAATGAATGTCCTTCTTGGGCCCCACTGTTTTCTTAATTTCTAAAACAAAATGTAGAGCCCTTGGGTCAGTCCACTGCTGGGTGAAGCCGTCCCCATACCCTGTTGAAATGCTACTCCAAATCCTGACAGATCCATGACATTGTAAGCGAGGCAAATCGTTCTGTACACGTACGTCGAATAGATTTAAACGAGTATTAATTTCATACTTGCGGTAATGCATCATGCGAAAAGGGGATGCTACGCAAAGTAAAAGTGCAAGCGGTTTCTTTCTCACGCGGACATTGATTCGGTCCTCAGCCCGTTTACAGCCCACAGCCTACGGTGGAGATTCCACATTCCTACGGCGGGGACCAGTAGGTCAGCAGGAAGTTCTCCCGCTCATGGAGCTTTCCGCTGGGTGATGCTCCGCCCCCGCCCCCCCAGACCATAGCAAGTGGCGGCGCGTTCAGTAGCCCCCTCCCCATTATCTTTGTCCTGGAATCACCACTGCGGACCCACGAAGATCTATGAAACAACCACCTTAAATCACACCAATAATAGTAATGTCATTGATAATCGGCCCAGATTTTGCAGACAAGTTAACAACTCAAGAGGCGTGGCGCCAAGCTCAGGGCTGCTCGAAAACAGATAAGAGGCCTTTTGATTTAAAGCTTTCGTGACTGCAGGGATTCATATTCTTCGTTCTTTCGGTAAAGTCACGTAGAAGGGAAACAATACAATAATAAAACTATGTTATTTTATTGTTAAAAATATATTATATAAAAATATATTATTTTGTTTCCCTTCTACGTGACTTTACCGAAAGAACCAAGAATAAGATGAGAGGCCTATTCGATGTCTCTTAAAAGTCAGACTGCATTTGATGTTGCGGATGTGCAAAGGGGATAGAGTTCCACACCATTTCAGAGACACCAGTGCGGGGGGAGGGGAAGAACTCACGCACGACACGCGGCTCTCCATCGGCGTCTCCGCGTGCTCCTCCGGTCGCCCCCCGGGGTCCCTCTGCCGCTCGGCCGAGTCCAGTTGCGCGAAGCCCGCATCCTCGAGGTGCTGGTAAAGAGGCGAGCCCTGGTGCCCAACACCCCAGAGAAGAATTATCGTAACAATGTCAATGTTATCCATCATCATCATCGATCAATCATTACAAGCATCAGCTGCGGCCGCGATGAATCTAACTTGACGGGTTAAGGTCTCACCAAGCCGTTGCCACAATCGCCCACGATCCTACGATATAACAATCCAGTTCTTGCAGAAGCGCCCCACATCTGCGGTGGATTGCTCTCCGGCGTGTTCCCTCCATTAGCTGCCACTCCTTTCTTTATGAGTCTCGACCACCGGCCCACATCCCTTCAAGTGACGCGTCCCATCCAAAACCAACTTCACCTTTCAGTCCAGTATGTTTTTAATTACGCTGTGAGCCAAGAAGCTCTTAAATCGGTGTTTCATCACCAAAAACAACAACCACCGCTTCTCCGACAAACGCAGCAAGTTACAGTAATATAAATCAATAACATACAATAACAGATAAGATAAAAAAAAATGGCTAGTGAATCATAACTGCAATGTAAAAAGTATTTTTATTTTTAAGAAAAATTTAGTTAGATTTTGATCACCATCAAATCCCATGCTGTATCTCTAAAAAAAATAGTAATTTAAATCTGCCACAGTAATTATAATGCAGATACAGCCTCAAACACGATGGCATTAGTGAGGAATTAAAAAAAACCCACAGCATCCATAAAAAACGTGGTGTAAACAACGTACTCAAAGTGATTGCTTACAGGAATATATTGATACCTTGCCTTTAACCTGCAGATGTTCTCTAGCCCACATCTTCCTCTTTTTGTTTGTCTCTCAATGCGTGTACTGGACCGTAAATCCAACCGTGGTACAAGTCCATGCTCCTTTGCGCACGCATCAGCTTTTGTTCAATTTTTATTCTGCAGAGCGTCGCGCGACAAAGAGCTTCATAGCTCATCGGATTTCTCCAGGATGAATACATATTTTTGATTCCGATCCATTCATTTGTGTGGCGTGCACATGCAATCAAACTTCGCAGGCACTTGGCCGCGTTCCAAAAAACGACAGGACTCGGTGAAAGTCTACAGGACTATGCGAGCGGCGTACAGGCATACAACCCCATCTCTGTAAGTCTCTGCAAGTCTATCTGCTCATTCATAAAGAGCATGCACTTTGTCAGTAAGGAACTTGTCAGTAAGGAACTTGTCAGTAAGGAACTTGCCATTTATAAACAAGGGAACAAGACAATGATGTGGCATTTAGAGCCATTGAGGCAATCAACCATAAGCAAGTAACAATTACAAAACAATAAATTATTCACAGCCCTTTGTCAATCCACTTGCTGGGCAAGAAGCCTCACCCACGCTATGTCAATCAACGGGGGGGCCTGTTTGACCATACTTCACCACGTGGGACCGGTGAAGAGGGGGCAGCCCCATGCCAACGCCGGCTCCGATGACCGCACGCGCCACTCATGTTCGCCATGGAAGGGCTGGAATGAGCGGCCGGGGTTTACCGTATTGTCCCGCATATAACCCGCGGGGTATACCACTTTCTACAAACAAGACAAGATCCTGCAGGGGGTATATGGAGGTGCGGGGCTATCGGAAATGTGTTTTACACAAAACGCTATTTTTGCGGGGTATATGCGCGTCTGCGGGTTATATGCGGGGAAAATACGGTAACAGCGCAGCGTTGCTAGCCGCAGCGCCGACACGCCACAGCCGGCCAGCCAGCCAGCCAGCAGCTCATATCAAGCACTGCACCGTGTCAAGTACGGTGGTTAAAACTGCGGGTGCATCGTGCAGCAGTAGCAACATTGGAGGGTGGACGACTCAAGAGGCGCGATGGGTAGGAGGAGGAAGACGCACGGACACGTGCGGGCAGCGGGGAAGGCAGCAGCGGCCACGCGGCAGTGAGGATGAGTCGGCAGGACCACATCTTCGGATGGTCCACCTCATCAGGCGCATGCAAAATGTTTGCGTTGATTACCGGATGAATGACCCAGCCGGCAATGGATAGCCATTGTCATTTTTATGCATTCATTAATTGCTCCCTCCCCCCCCACCCCACTTCGCTCAAGAAGGGCTCACAAGTGATGTCATCTCATCTACACCTCTATTTAAAAGCGAAACAGGAGGAGGATTTCTCCACAGATCTTGCTGTCCCGCCTGACGATGCCGGCTGTAATAATTACTGGCGAAACGCCACGGTACTCGGATTGTAAATGTTGTGGCTTTGCTCTCCAACACGCAAAGGCAATCACCCACTCAGTCAATCAATCAATCCACACACTCACCCGCCCTCCGATCAGCACGGCTGGCTACGTACGGTGCGAAAGAAGTTCAACGTACACGTACCGTACGAGACAAAGATCCCCCGTGTAGCCTTAACAGACTGTAGGGGGCAAGTGCTGTTAGCCAGCGGCACTTATGAAGGCCGACAGGGCACACGATGGGATGGGTGGCCAGCACCACGCCCTGCCGCCTTTGTCTCCCTCGTGGCGATGTGCAAAACATTAAGTTGAGGCCGAGTCGACCTAGGGGAGGCCCAGAACCGATTCAAATAATCATCACCGGTGTTGGCCGCGAGCGGGAATCGAACTCGGGTCGCCGGGTTCGTAGCGCAGCGCTCACCGCGACTACACTGCTACGTACTGTACACGCACTGTACATACACCGCCAAGCTCCGCGGTCCTCCACTAACACAGTTATATCACAGTGAGGTTGCACGACGCTACGAGGCCTCGTTGTGGCACGCCAACCTCGGGGGCGTGACGAACACGACGCGGTGGGGTGGTGGTGGTGGCGGCGGTGTGGTTGGGGTGTTGGTGGTGGGGTGGTGGTGTTGGCGGTGTGGTGGTGGCGGTGGGGTGGTGGTGGCGGTGTGGTGGGGTGTTGGTGGTGGGGTGGTGGTGGCGGTGTGGTGGTGCGGTGGTGTGGTGGGGTGGTGTTGGTGGTAGTGGTGTCGTGGTGGTGTTGGTGGGGTGTTGGTGGGGGGGTGGTGGCGGAGAAGGGTTAAACAAGTCGAAATAACAAAAGAGTGCAACCTTAAACACGACGTCTTCGTCAAAATCCGCACCCTCCATTGAGTCTCAAACAACCGTGGGGGGTGGTGGCCCCCCTCCTGTGATTAGTCACGTGCCAATGAATAACCCCCATTACATTTCCTACTGCGGTTAAGCGCCCTCTCGCCTCCCCCCCCCCCACACACAGGCGTGTCATTGGTTCCGGTGCGTGCACGTTATCGGCGGAGCTCTCTCCTCTCTCGATGCCGATTGGACGACAAAGACAATTTAAATAAATGTTTTCTATGCTCGGCGTATGCGAACTACGTTTTGTAACAACGTCTCCCGTGAAATCCGCTTTACGGTTTGACCGTGAAGCGATGTGGGGGGGGGGCAAAACGAGGCTTCTGGTTGGTTGACGTCGTAAAAGGACGCAACGCGCCAGGGTGGTGTCGTAAAAGGGAGTGCCAGCTACCGGTGACGTCACCGCCACGAGGGTGGGGGGCGGGGGGAATTTATGAATGAATGTATGTGTGTTTTTTTATGAATGAGATTAATCGCGTGAGTGGTCTAATAACAGTGTAATAAAAAATGTGTTCATGGGATTGCAAGTGTTATTTCCTAATTGCTTATGCCTCAAAAGTACATAAAATGGCTATTATTCCTCACAAACTTTGTTTTTGTGACCAGGACAGTGATATTTTGAAATTTATTGAAAAAAACACTTCGTACCCAGGAACAAAAATAGTGTTACATAGTGTAATTAATGGGAGAATTCACGTGGCTTTAACATTGTGTGCGTGAACGGTGCTATAATTGGCACGCTAAGGTGGGGGGGGTGTTACAGCTTGGTGCATCTACCGGTCATCTCAGTCAGCCGACCCAATGCCACCTGCCGGGTCTGTCCCGAGACCTCCTCCTGTCAGCAGCGAGCCTTCAACAACTCCACGTGAGGGCCTCGAAGTGCACCTAGCCTGGCACAGGCGCCGTGGTGACGTCTCCGTCACTCAGTGGCAAATGGCGGCTGTGTTGGTATTGGCGGTGAAGCAAACATTTAATTGACCCGATAATTATCATTATTTAGGGAAACATGTTTTTTACTCATTAATAAAAAAAAATCTCAACACATTCGTTGATAATAACGCCTTGTGCTTGTATTGGCTTGAAAGGGAAACATATCTAATAGACGACGTTTTGGGAATTGTCCCTTCTTCACAGCACACACAGACACAGCACACATTGACACAGCACACACACAGACACAGCACACACAGGCACAGCACACATAGACACAGCACACACACAGACAGCACACATAGACAGCATACACAGACACAGCACACGCAGACACAGTACACACAGACACAGCACACACAGACACAGCACACATAGACACAGCACACACACAGACACAGCACACGCAGACACAGTACACACAGACATAGCACACACAGACACAGCACACATAGACACAGCACACACACAGGCACAGCACACGCAGACACAGCACACACAGACACAGCACACATAGACACAGCACACACAGACACAGCACACATAGACACAGCACACACAGACACAGCACACAGAGACACAGCACACATAGACACAGCACACGCAGACACAGTACACACAGACAGCACACACACAGACACAGCACACACACAGACACAGCACACGCAGACACAGTACACACAGACACAGCACACACAGACACAGCACACACACAGATATAGCACACACAGACAGCACACATAGACACAGCACACGCACAAATCTGGAACTTCCCGCCTGACACCCGATGTTCGCAGTCAGTTTCGTGCTCTGTGCAAGACACCACCATCTGTTCCGACTGCCCTTCCCATACAATCTAACATTTAAAAGAGTGGGGGACCCCATCTTTATTTACTTATTGCTTATTTTATTTGCCACTCAATTTTTAATGCCTAGGAAGTCACTGGAACGCGATGCACTTTGACATCTTAAATTAAAAAAAAAATCATCACTTCAGAACTGCCTTTTTGTGTGTTCGTTTGCTTTCTTTCACCCGCACCTCCGATGGGCACGGTTGGCTACGTACGGTGCGAAAGAAGTTCAACATATACACGTCCATATGTAGTGGGTTCCGGAGACACTTCGGATAGGTAACTTCTTTATTACAACACAGCACTCCAACAGTCCTGATACACTGTTACAGCCTAGGGACACAGTCTACTCCTCGCGTGCCGTGACACTGGCTACGCTCTCGAGCCCTCCGCTATAATCACCCTAGGGGAGGCTACCCCTGACCCGACCCAGCCAAGGTGCGGGTCTAGACTCTGGCTTCCGCGGACCTCGCCCTTACAAGGGCGTGGAGCCGGAAGTCCCACCACTGGCCCAGAGTCCCACCACTGGCCCAGAGTCCCACCACTGGCCCAGAGTCCCACCACTGGCCCAGAGTCCCACCACTAGCCCAGAGTCCCACCACTGGCCCAGAGTCCCACCACTGGCCCAGAGTCCCACCACTGGCCCAGAGTCCCACCACTAGCCCAGAGTCCCACCACTGGCCCAGAGTCCCACCACTGGCCCAGAGTCCCACCACTGGCTCAGAGTCCCACCACTGGCCCAGAGTCCCACCACCGGCCCAGAGTCCCACCACAGGCCCAGAGTCCCACCACTGGCCCAGAGTCCCACCACTAGCCCAGAGTCCCACCACTGGCCCAGAGTCCCACCACTGGCCCAGAGTCCCACCACTGGCCCAGAGTCCCACCACCGGCCCAGAGTCCCACCACAGGCCCAGAGTCCCACCACTGGCCCAGAGTCTCACCACTGGCCCAAAGTCCCACCACTGGCCCGCACAGCGTCCCAGCCCTGACAAGGACAGCGGGTCGAGGGGGTCCAGGGTCCTATCTAGCTGCTGGTCTTCGGCTTCGGTCTTAAACTGGTCCCCGATCGGCTGGAGAGGTCCCCTTTTATGCCCCTTGCCCATTGAGGGATGGGGCTGCGAGGGATCCTAGAACCCCCGCAGCCCCCCACCCGGTTGAGGGCGCCAAGGGGCTTAACTGTCTGGGGATCCTGAGCCCCCATCAGCCCCCAGCAGCCCCTCCCCTGTTGGGCTGGCGCTGCAGCCCCTCCCCTGACGGTACGAGGTACCGTTCCATCTATGGTGCTACACATACATAGTCACTCACCCACTCACACAGTCACTCATCCACACACTCACCCACCCTCCGATTGCGTATACAATTTGTGTTTTAATCGGCGCATCCCACTTCCTATATTATATGTGGTTCATAAACATGGAAATGAACAATAAAACAGATAACATGACGGACCAACAACAAAATACGGAACAATGATTGAAACGTGTGCACAGAATCATGGAGATAATAAAATATTTTAATGACACAGAGAGCGAAAGAGGAACGCATGGGTGTGGGACTACACGCAGGTGAATCAACAATTAAACTAATTGTATAAGTTCAGTGGGCCTTACATGGTAAAATAAAAAAATAGTTAATAGTTTTTAGTCGACTTGGGCAGAGTCACACAAGGGATGGCGGACGGTTGTCGCGACGAACGATGGAGTGACAGCCAAGGAATGGAACAGACCCAGAGGATGTCAACAGCCAGGAACACGCACAACACTCGAGCGGAACCTACACGGGATGTCGGGCACATAGGACACGAACAGAGACCCATAGAGACCCACAGTCTCATAGAGACCCGTAGACTCACATAGCGACGTGTGCACTCGCAGATACCCATAGTCTCATAGAGACCCCTAGTCTCATAGAGACCCATAGGTTTACACAGGAACCTGTACACTCACAGAGTACCATAGTCTCATTGAGACCCGTAGACTCACATATGAACCTGTACACTCACAGAGGCCCATAGTCTCATAGAGACCCGTAGGCTTACATAGGAACCTGTACACTCACAGAGTACCATAATCTCATAGAGACCCCTAGTCTCATAGAGACCCGTAGACTCGCATTGGAACCTGTACACTCACAGAGTACCATAGTCTCATAGAGCCCCGTAGACTCATAGAGACCCGTAGACTCACATATAAACCTGTACACTCACAGAGACCCATAGTCTCATAGAGACCCGTAGACTCACATATAAACCTGTACACTCACAGAGACCCATAGTCTCATAGAGACCCGTAGACTCATACAGGAACCTGTACACTCACAGAGTACCATAATCTCATAGAGACCCCTAGTCTCATAGACCCGTAGACTCACATAGGAACCTGTACACTCACAGAGTACCATAGTCTCATAGAGCCCCGTAGACTCACATATAAACCTGTACACTCACAGAGACCCATAGTCTCATAGAGACCCGTAGACTCACGTAAGAACCTGTACATTCACATAGACCCATTGTCTCATATAGACCCGTAGACTCACATAGGAACCTGTATATTCACAGAAACCCCTAGTCTCATAGAGACCCGTAGACTCACATAAGAACCTGTACATTCACATAGGAACCTGTACACTCACAGAGTACCATAGTCTCATAGAGACCCGTAGACTCACATATGAACCTGTACACTCACAGAGACCCATAGTCTCATAGAGACCCGTAGGCTTATATAGGAACCTGTATACTCACAGAGTACCATAATCTCATAGAGACCCCTAGTCTCATAGAGAGACCCGTAGACTCACATATAAACCTGTACACTCACAGAGACCCATAGTCTCATTGAGACCCGTAGACTCACATAGGAACATGTATACTCACAGAGACCCATAGTCTCATATTGACCCGTAGACTCACATAGGAACCTGTACATTCACATAGACCCATTGTCTCATATAGACCCGTAGACTCACGTATGAACCTGTACATTCACAGAAACCAATAGTCTCATAGAGACCGGTAGACTCACATAAGAACCTGTACACTCACATAGACCCATAGTCTCAAAGAGACCCATAGTCTCATAGAGCCCCGTAGGCTTGCATAGGAACCTGTACACTCACAGAGAACCATAGTCTCATAGAGACCCCTAGTCTCATAGAGACCCGTAGACTCACATAAGAACCTGTACACTCACAGAGACCCATAGTCTCATAGAGACCCATAGTCTCATAGAGACGCGTAGGCTTACATAGGAACCTGTACACTCACAGAGTACCATAATCTCATAGAGACCCCTAGTCTTATAGAGACCCGTAGACTCGCATTGGAACCTGTACA